AATGCTTTTAAATGAAAATTCATTCAAACTAGTTATTTTTGGACTTTTTGGATCATTACAGTATGTGTGTAAATGCATATACTGTTTAGTGTACAACCACACATAATTCACATATTATATAACATATTTACATATACATGCACTTATATAAATTATATATTTATGAACACATAAACCAAGTCGTACATGTATATTTGTATATATATATATATATATATTGTGATATACATATTTTATGTAATAGGTACAGTATTTTTAACATTAAATGTACAGAGAAATGCAGACTAAGGATGCTCAGGTTAAAGACCATATATTCATACTTTGCACATGACGTCATAAGTACTGGCTGGCGGGCAAGAACGTCGTTCTCTAGCAACAAAACCTAGTAAACTAATCAAGGATCTTGCCAGGACGTTCGCCAGTTTTAATATACAAAAGTTGGTGTTTTGAGGTGTAAACGACATGCCAGATAGTTGTTGAGCGATTGGATGCACTATGTCAATCGTGTAATCTTAACATAAACGTGGTTACACGTTCGCCAGTAGGTGGCGAGAACGCGTTGATCTGTACGTGATTTTGATTTGATATGATGAGAAGATGAATACATGGAGAATGAATGACACGTTACTGTTGTACTGCATCTACTTATTACTTACAGTTACTCCAAGTCTGGTAGAGACTTTGCCAGCTTCAAAGCAATGAAAACATCAGCGGGTGCTGTGTATGGGTGCTGTGTATGGATCACACGTTCTGAGTATGTTAATCTTTTTTTGATATCTAATTTTAACATTCGGTGACATATGGTCTAAATAGTTAATTGATTGTAGTATTAGAAATTTGCAAGGCTGGAATTCCCCTGGCTGGCCACTGTGCGCCATTTTGTCAGCGTTTGTTGCCTGCCAGGTATCCATGGTAGTCACGTGACTGCAAGGTATGAATACTTGCCCAAAAGTGCTTAACACAGTAGAACTAACAGTCATATGATTAGCTTAGATCATTACAAACCAATCACCAGAACAAATCACAGTGAAGACGACTTGAGTGACATTGATTTTTACTCAACTGTGTGGTGTATGGTACATGTATCTTTCTTTTTACGTTTATTCGTCAGCACATCAACTCAGATAATAAAGCAGTTGTCCTTAATCAAGGTGTATAAGTAGGTGTGGTATTTCTATAAAAACAGAAAATGTAGGCAAGTGTAAACATCATGTATCGGTTTTAAAACATTTAGTGTTATTATCATGTACGAGTATGAACAAAATACAGAAATGAGATTAATAAAGAAAGAAAAACTTGCTATGTCATAATTTAAATTAAAATCTAAACAGTTTTATCTGCGTCACATAGTTTGTCAGCGGTGCTCTGTCTGGGCTCGTTCCACGCACACGCATTAAGTTGTTTACAACTTCAGAATACCTCAAACGCAGTCTTTGACAATTGAAATGCACCAAACATCGATGAAATATACATAAATGACATCAATATAAACAACTAAGCAGATATATAACATCCTATATACAGCGCAACATCATTCTAAAGACGTGATAATTCCTATAATTAACTTCAACAAGCTAATGCCCGTTATAACGGCAAACTAAATATTAAACAGGTCTAGGATTGCACATATGATTGCTAGAGATCAAATACAATACACTTACTTTGTTCATTTCATGGGTGTTGTGCGTCAATGCAAACTAAATGTTATTTACAACGGCAAAGGTCAGCGTTAGCGCTCCGACAGAATCAACTCTCAACTTCACACTGAGCGCTGTGGGCGGGATGTTCGCATGCACGTAGATCGGCGAAAGCTGATTGGCTGCTATGCTGTAGGCTGTGCGTCAATCAATCTCGGCAAAAGAAAAAGATTTAAGTCAGAAGGTATATTACTAGTAATGGCCTTTTTAACAATGGCCAAGACGCCCGCTGTATGCGTTCCCACCGGTCTTTATGATCCCTCAGGTCTTCAGACGGATCAAGGAGAGCGAATACTCAGTCCTCCTAGTAGCCCCCCTCTGGAAAACTCAGGCATGGTTTCCAGAGCTGGCACGGATGATGGACACTGTTTCCTGGCCAGTGCCAATGAGCAAAGACCTCCTCACACAGGCGAACGGGACGATCTGGCACCCTCGCCCCGACTTATGGGCCCTCCATGTATGGCCCCTGAACGGGTATCCAGGGACCTCCAAGAAAAGGTCTTAAATACCATCACTGAGGCCAGAGCACCATCTACAAGACACCTCTATGCTTTGAAGTGGTCAGTATTTGCTGGCTGGTGCTCAGCCAGAGACTTTGAGGCCGACTCATGTGAACTGTCAGTGGTGCTCTCTTTCTTACAAGAGCTTTTGGATGCAGGTCGCTCCCCATCCACGCTCAAAGTGTATGTGGCGGCCGTGGCAGCTCACCATGCTCCTGTGGCTGGCCAGTCGCTGGGGAGAAACAACCTTATCGTTTGTTTTCTCAAAGGAGCCAGGAGGTTGATTCCCCCCAGGCCTCACACTATACCGGCATGGTACCTTTCCACGGACCCGCTACAGACGGTCGACCTCAAACCACTTTCACTGAAGACTGCTCTGCTGCTGGCTTTGGCATCAGTCAAGCGAGTGGGAGATTTGCAGGCGCTCTCCGTGAGCCCATCCTGCCTGGAATTTGGGATAAATGACTCCAGAGTCATTCTCAAGCCAAGGCACGGTTATGTACCTATGGTGCTCTGAACCCCGTCATTACTCTGCTAGTGTCTCGACACACACACAAATAGATAGATCCAAGTGCAAATTTAATAGGGTAATCCGTAATCGTAAGTCATCCAGGCAAAGGGTCAAAATCATACAAAGGCAGTCCAAAACAAGAAACAAAACAGGCAAAAGATCTCTGAAGTGCAAGTGACATTAAACAAGGATTCCATGACAGTGAATGAAACAGACAGGGTATAAATAGGCAGATACAAACAATGTGAGTGGGAACAGCTGTGTGCAATGAACAGAAATGAGTACAGAGGATTATGGGAAATGCAGTTCCTGATGTGGTGGAGACGGTAAGGGGAAGAGGCCTCTAGTGGACACCCAGGGAACAACAACCAGACACTGTGACAGCTAGCACTTCCACCCTTGGAGAATGATGGTGGCACTAATCTGCTGTGTCCCGTTAGGGCTCTAAAAATATACTTTATAAATATGCGCCGTTTAGGCAGTCAGAACAGCCCTTTGTTTGCTTTGGTGGCCGCACCAAGGGGATTCCGGTCACAAAGAAGAGACTATCCAAATGGATAGTGGACGCCATCTCGCTGGCATACACCTCTGTGGGCCAGGTTTGTCCCAAAGGCGCTAAAGCCCATTCCACGAGAGGCATGGCCCCATCGTGCCCGTGGTCCAGTGGTGTACCAATTCAAGATATTTGTGCAGCGGCCGGTTGGTCCTCGCCGTCCACATTTGTCAGATTTTATAATCTAGCATGTTACTGTCCACAAGCACAAGTAGTTCTAGGACGGTTATGAGCCACAGTTTTATTCATGAACCTGACTTAGCGTCATTATATTGGGAGACTTATTATGGCTTGTTCTGTTGAGCCTCGGGGTGTTTTCCCTATTTTCCCTATGCTCCGATTAATTCAGCCAGTTGCTAATGTGCGGCATTTTACATTGCGTCCCCACTGCGTATTAGCTACGCAATACGAAGTGACCATTCTCGAAAGGGAACGTACTCAGTTACTAATGTAACCTTGGTTCCCTGAGGTTTTACGGCCAGACAAGTAGTTTGTTGAGGGTTGGCTTTAGGGAAGGACTACATACCTGTGCACATTTATTCAAACGCGTATACCTATAGAATGAACTCTTAATACGCATGTGCACGCCATCAGCGTTCTCACAGGTTTGCGGTTTTAAAGTTGGCGTAGAGAGAATTTAAGAGTTTTCTGTTAAAGCGGTGTCGTGTTAGCGGCCCATAGGTTAATAACTAATGATCGTTGCGACAGATGTGATTCAATTAAAACTAACTTTAGCTGAAAAATAACTTTATTCTAGAGCTGTCATAAAGCCAAAACAATCTCTGTTACTTTAATTTCCTATTATCACTGTAAAGCAGCTTTGGAACAATCTACATTGTTAAAAGCGCTATATAAATGAAGATGACTTGACTTGACTTTCACTGTGCAGCTGCACTGCTTTTTAAATTATTGCTTCAATATTTCGAAGAAAAAGGAGTTTCCCCACTGTGTATTAGCTACGCAGTACTCGTACCCTTACTCTCAGGGAACCGAGGTTACGTTAGTAACCAAGTACGTTTCCTTTGCGCAGAAGCCTGTGGACATGGCCGACGGGGAACTGCAGTCCCACCCTGGAGGAGTGAGTCTTAGCCTTCGCTCTCTGGCTTTACCACCGGTTTTGCTTCCTCCGCTCATTTTTTTTTTTTTTTAAATGTAGTTATTACAACCTTTTTTACAACAACGTTTTTACATTATTACAACAATTTTTTTTTTCTGTGCACACAGTTAATATGTGTAAAACATTTTTTTTTTAACTAAAATGGTGAAGTAACAATTTAAACAAGCTTTTCAAATAATTTACTTCAATATTAACATGCTACTAGGGTTTGATACGCACACTTTATAACATGTATATATTCACACCATGAAGTCTATTTAAATATATACAGTATATGGATATTATACACTGTTCCTAACAGTTCATACACTGTTCCAAACACTGTTCTGTTTGTGTGTTCTATCCTATTTGGACTGTGATCACTGCCTTTATCCTTATAAGCTTTCTGGCCATTTGTAAAATATTTTTATATGTATGAAATAGATCACTCAACTTGAGTGATTCAAGATCACTTATTTTTGACAAAAAATATTTTATAGTTTGTGTTTAGATTGTTGAAGTTTAAGTGGTCAAAAGTTTCCTTTCAAAATTAACGGAAATCATTACAATACATGAGTTTTGCTTTTTATTCAGAGTTAGTGGGTGGCTCTTAAAAGAGCCGTTAATGAAAAAACAGTGGACTTTATTTTTTGGGAGCTGCCTTTTTAGGCATGGCAGCTTTAGGCTTTCCCTTAGGTTTAGCTGCCATGGCTTTTTTACCACTTTTGGCTGCTTTCCTAACGGCTGCTGGCTTCTTTGCCTTCTTGGGGCTCTTCGTCGCCTTCTTAGCGGCTGTGGCAGCGGGTTTCTTTGCTTTCTTGTGTGATTTCTTGGCGGCGTGATTCTTTGCCGTTGCGCTCTTTGGCTTCTTGACCTGCACCAGGGTGCCTTTAGTCACCAGGCTCTTGAAGGCGATCTTGATGCGGGAGTTGAACTGTTCAAGGCAGTTGATGAGCTCGGTTTGGAGTGGGCGCCTCTGCCTAGCCGACCAGAAGCCGACTGGACGAGTGGTTCCTCCAGTCGGTCTGCAGCCGAAAGGACACCCTGAAGAAGCGAGGAAAATCAAAAATCAAAGTCCTGGAACGCACCGCCAATGAGTCGAATGCACAATCTGGGATCCACCCTCATGTGTATGTGAGAAGCAGCCATTGCCCATCTCCCTGCAGCCACAGCGAACTGGAGAGGGAGAACAACGCTCCCCTCTAAACCTTGCCACACCACCGCAAACTTCGCTGGCATGGGTTTCTCAGCGGTGGGCCAAGCAGCGTCAGTACTGCATGTGATGGCAATCCTCCAGGTCTATCAGGTCAAACTGCTCAGGTCTCTGGATGAGGGCGGGCCGGACCCAGAAGTTTTCAAAGAGCTCCGGCGTGGCACAGGTCTGGCCCTCAGAGCGACGAAAGTGACAACTCTAGAGATCGGCCGCAACATGGGAAATCTTGTGGTGTTAGATCGTCACCTGTGGCTCACCCTGACTGAGTTAAAAGTTAAAGGACGGCCCTTCTGGACACACCCGTGAACCCCTCAGGTCTCTTCAGAGCGGTGGAAAGTTTATGGAGTTTTGCGCTTTGTCGAAACGCAAAAACAGTTGAAGGCCATTAGCCACTTCCTGCCAAAGTGCGCCTGAGCGATCCCTCCTGCGCATTCTAGCTCCTCCTCAGTGGCCATTCTGCTGCTGCTTGGTGGTAGCATGAACCGACGGTGAGACCACGACAGCCGTGCCTGAAGCATCATCATGGCTTGAAGAGTCAGAGGCAGGGACAGGGACAGCAGGCCCGGAAACAAAGCCACTTTCCTGACGCTGCCTCCCAGAGCAGGGAAGCTGTACACAGCTCTGAAGATGAGCCACTGAAGAAGTCTGCTCGCTCCGCTGTGTGTGTTCATGAAAGTGAAAGTGAAAGTGAAAGTGACACGTGATGGCCAAGTATGGTAACCCATACTTGGAATTTGGCCTCTGCATTTAACCCATCCAAGTAAGTGCACACACATTAGGAGCAGAGTAGTGAGTAGTGAACACACACACACACTGCAAACGTGGATACACACACCCGGAGCAGCGGGCAGCCTTGAGTGGCGCCCGGGGAGCGATTGGGGGTTAGGTGCCTTGCTCAAGGACACCTCAGTCATATTCCTGCCGGTACTGGAATCGAACCAGCAACCTTTGGGTCACCAGTCCAACTCTGTTACCATTAGGCCATGACTGCCCTCTTCATCATGACCTTGCCGCCCACAATAGGCAGGGGGGCAATTGTTGTGTTTGTATTTTGACTGTCCCACTATGCAGTGCAATAAAGTAAAAAAATAATAATACAAAACTCACTGCAATATCAGAGCTATTTTCCTCCTCTCACTCCCTCACCCCTCTCACTCTCACGCACGTGGGGTATTAAACTCCCCTCTCCCCAATTAGCCCTCACGGTGTGCAGTCCGCCTCGCCCGCTGTCACAATTCACAAAAGCGTGGCAGAGGAAGTACACAACTGCAGGCAAAACACGCTGTAGAGACAATCGATTAATCAACAACATCTACACACATAAATGGAGAGTTTTCACAAATTGGTGCAGGTCAAATTGGTGAAAGTGTATGTGGCCGCTATAACAACATTCCACGTGCACATTGATAATTGGCCAGTAGGTAGAAATGACATAGTGGTACGATTCTTAAAGGGAGCAAGACGGCTGAACCCCCCTCGCCCTTTCACCCTACCCACTTGGGACTTGGCACTTGTGCTTGACGCTCTCACGGGACCCCCTGTTTGAACCCTTCAATGCAATCAATGAGCTTGTGCGTGCACTCCTATAGGGGTTCGAGCCCACTCCACCAGAGAAATCGCTTCCTCGTGGGCATGGGCAAATTGCATATCTATTCAGGATATATTTCCGCATTAGCAAACGCAATGTCTATATATTTATAGCCTTATATAGGGAGCGAGCCCGCCCCTACTTCGCTTTTACTTGTTACTTTTCCCACAGCATTTAAGCAGGCTCGGGTAACCCCACTGCTTAAGAAACCCACTCTAAATTTAGCACATCTGGAAAATTACAGACTGGTATCCCTTATTCCATTTGTCACGAAAACACTTGAACGAATTATTTTCAACCAGATCTCTTCCTTTCTTACACAGAACAACCTCCTGGACAACAACCAGTCTGGTTTCAAAAGCAGACACTTAACTGAGACTGCCCTGCTCTCGGTAATTGAAGCTCTGAGACTGGCAAGAGCAGCTTCCAAATCCTCAGTTCTCATCCTGCTGGATCTGTCTGCTGCCTTTGACACAGTTAACCACCAGATCCACCTGTCAATCCTAAAAACGAAGGGCATCTCGGGAACCGCACTACAATGGTTCAAGTCAACCTCTCAGGTAGGTCCTTCAGGGTGTCGTGGAGGGGTGGGGTGTCTAAGACACAACATCTAGATACCGGGGTGGCTCAGGGCTCAGTGCTTGGACCAATTATCTTCTCCATCTACATGGCATCACTAGGATCTGTGATTCAGAAACATGGCTTTTCCTATCAATGCTACACTGATGACACACAACTCTACCTCTCATTCTCAGCCTGATGATCCGACGGTTGCTGCTCGCATCTCAGCCTGCCTGACAGACATTTCTGGCTGGACGAAGGACCACCACCTTCAACTAAACCTTGCGAAGACAGAGTTGCTTGTGGTTCCGGCCAACCCAACACTACACCACATCTTCTCAATTCAGCTAGGTTCGTCATCCATAACTCCATCAAGGTCAGCCAGGAACCTTGGAGTTGTGATTGATGATCAATTGAGCTTTACAGACCACATTGCTAGAACTGCTCGGTCCTGCAGATTCGCCTTATACAACATTAGGAGGATCAGGCCCTTCCTATCAGATTATGCTACACAACTCCTTGTCCAAGCAATTGTTCTATCCAGATTGGAGTATTGTAATTGCTCTCCTGGCAGGTCTTCCAGCTTGCACTAATGCGTTCCCAATTCATCCTTTATCAGGTCGCGTCAGATCAATGAGCAGCAAGTCATAGTTTCGACTTTTTAATCTCATAATTTTGGCTTGGTATGTCAAAATTTCGACATGTGGGCGGAATGGGCTTCCATACAATTCTGATTTTTTTTTTTTTCGCAATTGCGAGTTTATATCTAAAATAAATTCTGAGATAAAAAGTTGCAATTGCCTTTTTTTTTTGTCTGTGGCTGGAACAAGCTGCAATAGTTTTCAGCCCAGTTTGTATTACAATAATAATGCTGCTTTGATTTTCTTGTTTCATAAAAGCATAACAACTTTTTTTTATGTAGTTTATTTACAAAAATAGTGTACAGTTTACTCTATAAATTCAAATAAAAAAAGATGGTGTGTAATTGAAGGCAGATTTTTTGTCACAGTTCGTACAGAAGACCCAAAAGCAGACGTAATGCAATAACAGAGTTTATTTCTTTGAAACTGGAAATAAGGAGACTGCCGTCAATGGACGCAGATCTGATGAAAACGAAACAATAATGCTGTCCCAGTCAATAGTAGAATCAGCGTCGGCAAGGTGGCGAGCAGCAACTGAGAAATCTTCCCGTGCCCAATGAAGGAAACTCACAGATGCCAGGTAAGCTGTTGATCCTCAGACAGCAGGTGAACTGGGTAGAGAACAGTGATGAATCTCCAAACAAATCACATACACCTCGACAGGACAGGACAGGACAGGGTGCTGTATCTCTCGTGAGAGAATATATTGGTAGACTTGTAAACGAAGAGACAAAGCGTAAGCTCAACGTGCAACAATAAACTGACAAGGAAGCAGAGAAAACAGTGACTAGAAGTAGCCGAGTAAATTAGAGAGGAAGCGAGCACAGGTGAGACAGGATCAGTGTAAGTGTTAATTGCTATGGGAAACAGCTGCGAGACAAGAGATGGGAAAACCATGAATGGGAGCAACTAAGTGTGTGCGCAGCGCGAAGGCTGAGATAATGATGAACAGCTGGGCGTGTGTGCGTGTGTAATACTACGGGAATAGAGAGGAAAGAAACTGATTCATGACAGTACCCCTCCTTCAATGAGCGCCCCCAGGCGCTCCCAAAGGTGAAGCCTGGTGAGTGCGGTGGAAGTCCTCGATGAGCGAGCGGTCCAGAACGTCCCGGGAGGGAATCCAGCTTCTCTCCTCAGGACCATATCCCTCCCAATCGACCAGATATTGAAAACCACGACCTCGAGGGCGAACATCAAGGAGTCTGCGAACGGTATAAATAGGAGAACCCTCGACAAGAGCAGGAGGAGGAACAGGACGGGTAGGTATCCGAATAACGGGTTTGATGCACGACACATGAAACACGGGATGGATGCGACGGAGCTTAAGAGGAAGCTTTAGTCTGACAGTAACAGGGTTAAGAACCTTAGTAATGGAAAAAGGTCCAACAAACCAAGGCGAGAGCTTACGAGAGCTGGACTGTAGAGGTAGGTTAAGAGTGGACAGCCAGACTCGCTGTCCACAAACGTACCTGGGGGCTTTTACGCGAAGGCGGTTAGCGGCTAAGCGGGTGCGTGCCTTAGTACGACAAAGAGCAGTTCTCACCCTCCTCCAGGTGCGACGGCACCTCTGAATAAACGCCTCAACAGACGGAACGGAAACCTCGAGTTCCTGTGCGGGGAAAAGCGGAGGTTGGTAGCCGAGGCAACAATTAAACGGGGAAAGTCCAGTGGCGGATGACGGAATGGAATTGTGTGCATACTCCGCCCATGGCAACTGTTCGCACCAGGACGAAGGGTTTTGGAACGCAAGGCTGCGGAGCATTCTACCCAAAATCTGATTAGATCGTTCAGCCTGCCCGTCAGTCTGGGGGTGGAATCCTGACGACAAACTGGCAGTGGCTCCAATCTGTCGACAGAACTCTCTCCAAAACTGAGAGGCAAACTGTGGCCCCCTATCTGAAACAACATCAGTAGGAAGTCCATGAAGCTTGAGGACATGATTAACCACCGACTGGGCCGTCTCTTTGGCGGAAGGTAATTTGGGAAGTGGAACGAAGTGAACGGCCTTAGAAAACCGATCCACTACCGTCAAAACAACGGTGTTCCCCATGGATGGAGGAAGACCCGTAACAAAGTCTAAGGCTATGTGTGACCATGATGGAGTCGAAAGGGGTCGGAGTAACCCGGCAGGTGGCGAGTTACCCAACTTAGTTTGGGCGCAGATAGGACACGAAGACACGAAACGACGGATATCACGTTCTCTAGTAGGCCACCAAAACCTTTGACGAATGACGGC